GCCAAGTACTCGCCTTGAGCTGAAGTGCTCAGGGACAGTGCCCAGGCCCAGAGATAGCCATTTACAATTTCTTTATGAATAAAGTGAAAGCAAGATGCTGGTTTCTTATGCCTATAATCCTGGCTGCTCAGGAAGTTGAGATCTGAGGATCACAGTTCAAAGCCAGTCCAGGCAGAAAACTCCATTAGACTCATCTCTAACCAGAGAAACAAAAAGCCTGAAGTGGAGCCATATATGGCTCAAGTAGTAGAGCACTAGTTTTGAACAAAAAACCTCAGGGAAGCAGGGCACCAGTGGTTCATACCTATAATCCTAGCTACTCAGAAATCTGACCTCTGAGGATTAAGGTTCCAAGTCAGCCAGAGCAGCAAAGAGTCTGTGAGACTCTTATCTCTACTGAACTACCAAAAAAGCCAGAAGTACAGCTGGCTCAAGTGGTAGAGTGATAGCTTTGAACAAAATAAACTCAGAGACAGCGCTTAGGCCATGAGTTCAAGTACCAGGATTGGCACAAAAAAAAGAAAATTTTGGTAGAAAACTTGAGATTTTTGCATAAATTCATCATTCTAAGAAAATAAGAGTCAATGTCTTATTTCCAGGCAGAGTCATAATTCAAAGTCACATAGTAACATGAGAATTACTTAAAACTATATGAAGTCAGGGCTGGGAATGTGGCTCAGTGGTAGAGTGCTTGCCCAGCATGCATGAAGCCCTGTATTTGACTCCTCAGCACCACATATACAGAAAAATCCATAAGTGGTGCTGTGGTTCAAGTGGTAGAGTGCTAGCCTTGAGCACAGAGAGGCTCAGAGACAGTGCCCAGGCCCTGAGTTCAAGCCCCAGGAGCTGCAAAAAAACAAGACAAAAATTATCTGAAGGGCTGAGAAGGTGGCTCAGTGGTAGAGCGCTTGCCTTGCATGCCTGAGGCCCTGGGTTCGATTCCTCAGCACCACATAAGCAAAAAGAAAAAAGCCGGAAGTGGCGCTGTGGCTCAAGTGGTATAGCGCTAGCCTTGATCTGTAGAGCTGAGGGACAGTGCCCAGGCCCAGAGTTCAGGCCCCACGACCAGACCAAAAAAAAAAAAATATATTAAGCCAGCCTAGGCAGGAAAGTCCACAAAACTTTTTTGTTGTTGTTGTTGTTGGTCATTGTGCTTGAACTCGGTCTGGGCGCTGTCCCTCAGCTATTCAGCTCAAGGCTAGCACTCTACCTACTTGAGTCATAGTGCCACTTCTGTTTTTCTGGAGATAAGAAACTTCTGGTTGGCTGGGAAAGTGGTTCAGTTGTAGAGTGCTTGCCTCACATGCATGAGGCCCTGGGTTGGATTCCTCAGCACCACAGAAGCAGAAAAAGCCGGAAATGGTGTTGTGGCTCAAATGGTAGAGCACTTGCCTTGAGCTTAAGAGCTGAGGGACAGTGCCCAGGCCCAGAGTTCAAGCCCCACAACCAACAAAAAAGAAAAGAAAAGAAAAAAGAAACTTCTGGTTTATTGGAGATAGAAGTCTCATGGGCTTTGCTGCCCAGGCTGGCTTTGAACCGTGATCTTCAGATCTTAGCCTCTTGAGTAGCTAGGATTACAGATGTGAGCTACCAGCACTGGTCTCCATGAAACTCTTATTTCCAGTTGACCACCAGAAAACTGGAAGTGGTACTGTGGTAGAGCATTAAGTAGCCTCCAGCAAAAGAGCTCAGGGACAAGTGCCCAGGCCCAGAGTTCAAGACTTACAACCGACAAAAACAAGGAAACAAAACTGTTTGTAGCCTAGCACCAGTAGTTCACATCTGTAATCCTAGCTACTCAAGAGGCTATGATCTAAGAATACTTGTTCATAGACAGCCCAGGCAGGAAAGTCTGTGAGACTCTTATCTCCAATGAACTACTAAAAAAGCTGAAAATGGATCTGTGGCAAGTGATATAGTGCTAGCCTTGAGCAAAAGCAACTCAGAAACAGTATATCCAGACCCTCAGTTCAAGCCCAGGACCCACAAAACAAAAAATGAAATATTTGTATATTTAAAAAACAAAACTGAACTGAGTATCTGCTAAAAGAACATACACTTTTTTTCTGCTGATAAATGTATTTATGGGCTTTTCAAGATTCATTTGGATATTTCATGCTTCTAATAGTTGGCTTCCTTAGGAATAGTATCTAAAATTAGAGGTTATCACTGCTGCATCCTTCAAAAGGAAGTAAGGCTCTACACTATAAAGCCAGAGGGCACTCTAACTGCTGCCTTTTCACCAGCCATTTTTTTCTAGGGCTGCTGCATGACGTCATAGCAGAAAAAAAGAAAAACATGAAGAAAACTATTTCAAATAAACATTTAATGTAATTTTAGGTCAAAGATAAAAACTGATCACACAGTATTTCCCCAGTACAAAAAAATTAACAGGACGTAGAGGTGTGATTCAAGAGGTAGAACATCAGCCTTGAGTGAAAAAGCCAAATGAGAGTGTGTGAAGACAAGTCTGCTCCCCCCCTCCAAAAAAATAAAAGAGGGTCTCAAGTGTTATCACTTGGTAGAAAAAGACCAGCACAGTCCAGGATGAAGGCCAATTCCATCCTACTGCCATAGTTTCCCTTAATTTATTGATTAGTATATGCTTGCGCATCATAAAGTACATTTCAGTTCTTGGTGGTACTAGGTTTGAACTCAGTGGCTTGTGCTTCCTAGGCTGCTACTCTATCACTTGAGCCACACCACAGGTCCAGCTTTTTGCTGGTTATTTTCGAGATGGAATCTCACAAGGCTGGCCTCAAACCTTGATCCTTTAGGTCTCAGCTTCTGGTAAAGCACCTGCATCCTTGCAAGGGCATTTCACTCGAACTTTCCACCACCACTGTTGCCATTTAGTTGCAAAACAGCTTCTCAATCAGGGTTTCCCTTCAGCTAAGGAGGTTTTGTGTGTGTGCGTGTGCACGTGTGGGCACCAGTACCTAGGCTTGAACTCAGGGCCTGAGCACTGTCCTTTGGTCCTTAGCTTACTCCATTCAAGGCTAGCACTCCACCACTTGAGCCACAGCTCCACAAATTGTTGTAGGGAAACACTGATAAAGAACAGGTGTATAGTGACAAAATAGTCCTAACTTCATATTTTGATTTTGTGTTCTTGGGGCCTATGAGCATTTTGAAAAGAACTACTCAACCTAAACAGCCAACAATACAAGTTAGGAGACTGAGAATATTGACTGTGGAGAATATATATAAAATTTAGCATCTGAGGACCTCATCTAGCTCCTTACCAGAGCTGTATAATTTTATTTGCAATGACAGGCATTTTCTTATCTCAATTTGACCTTATGGAGAGGTGGACAGCTCCTTTTTTTTTTTTTTGGTCATGGGGCTTGAACTCTGGGCCTGGGCACTGCCCCTACACTCTTCAGCTCAAGGCTAGCACTCTACCACTTGAGCCACAGCACCACTTCTGGCTTTTTCTGTGTATGTGGTGCTGAGGAATCAAATCTAGGGCCTCATACATGCGAAGCAAGCACTCTACCACTGAGCCACCTTCTCAACCCAAAATGTTTACTTTTATTTATTTGTCAGTCGTGGAGCTTGAACTCTGGGCCTGGGCACTGCCCCTTGGCTCTTCAGCTCAAGGCCAGCACTCTACCACTTGAGCCACAGTGCCACTTTTTTTTTTAAAGAGATCACTTTGTTAGGCAATTAGGCCAAATCCTTGGATACCACAGCCATTTCCTTTATAAATCCAATATTCTCCACTTTAAACATTTAATATAAAGAACTTCCCCACAAGTTTCTAACTAGTCACTGCACTAAGAAAGCAAAACATTTACCAAGAGCCTCATGCAATAACTCCCAGCCTTTTTATGGGGAGAATGGAGGATTACTGAAAACTAACTTGTAGAAATAAAATGAGTCTATGAGGATAGACATCCTAACAAATTAAACTTTGGTTGGTACTAAACTTTTTTTTATGTTGGGATCTAACTCAGGGCTTTGTGCTCAGCTTATTAGTAGCTTTGCCCAACAAGCAGCAGGATTTAGGCTTCTGATTTTAGCCACTTTCCACTCCCCAAAACACCCATTATTGGTTTATTTTTCCAGAATCAACAATGAAAAGCTCAGCCAGGTGCTGGTGGCTCATGCTTGTAATCCTAGATACTCAGAATGCCAAAATCTGAGGATCACAGTTCCAAGCCAGCTCAAGCAAGAAAGTCCTTGAGACTCTTATCTCCAGTTAACCACTAGAAAACTGGAAGTGGAGCTGTAGCTCAACACAGTAGATCTAGCCTTGAGTAAAGAAAACTCTGGGAGTATCCAGGCCCTGAGTTCGAGTCTCAGGACTGGCACTATTGGCTCGTGCCTGTAATCCTAGCTACTCAGGAAGCTGAGATCTGAGGATGATGGTTCAAAGTCAGCCTGGGCAAGAAAGTCCGTGAGACTTTTATCTCCAATTAACCACCAGAAAACTGAAAGTGGCACTGTGGCTCAAGTGGTAGAGAGCTAGCCTTGAGCTGAAGAAAGAGCTCAGGGAAAGTGCCCAGGCCAAGTTCAAGACCCATGACCAACAAAAAAAAAACAATGAACTACAAAGCAAGCACAGTTAAATATTGCAGATAATTCAGTGTTTATATTTTACCTGATTGTATATTGTAGCATTCTGAAACCCAGAAGAAAAACAGATGGCAAAAATTTTCTCGTTTTGCATAGGAAATTTAGAATTCTTTTCTTTTTTTCTTTTTCTTTTTGCAGGTCCTTGAATTCAGAGCCTGGGCACTGTCTTGGGCCCTGTACTCTGTGCTCAAGACTAGTGCTCTACCACTTGGGCCACAGCACCACTTCTGGCTTTTTCTGTGTATGTGTTACTGAGGAATCAAACCCAGAGCTGGGCAAGCATTCTACTAAGCCACATTCCCAGCCCCCAATTTTGAATTTCTTTAAAGGACAAACTTAAGAATTTTGTGTTAACCCTTCAGAAGTTCTGTCACATAAATCAGTATTTTGAATTAGGTCTAGAAATCACACTGGAACTATTACATTTACAAATATTAAATTTATTATAACTAGAATTTATTGGTTCTCAGATTTGGCCACCTTATAGCTCGGTTTGAGGGGATTTCTCTTAACAGAAAAATGCATTATAATTTGGTCAAATTACACATTAAAAAAACTTTAAAAAGGAAAACAAGAAAAGCAACCCTTCAGTTTCACATAATTAAAGAACAGAAGAAAGCACACAAAGCTACATCATAGCTAAATTTACCAAACCAACCAAAGCCGGAGGGGATTTTCTCTTCTGATTATGTCATAAAAAGGTCCACTGTCTTATATACACTTGTGTATAATGTTACATTCCAGCACTGTAAAAAGTCCCCCCTTTCCCCCTCCCCCCAAAAGTTTACAGTCTAGTCTCCAAACTTGGAAAGCGGCGCCCGCTCCTGCTGCCGATGGAGTTCGTTCTCCGTCTGCAGCTGGAGGTTCTCGGCGCGCAGCCGGGCCAGCTCCAGCTCCAGCTCCCGCACGCGCGCGTCATCGCCACCCAGCCGCTTGCTTTCCAGCCGCAGCCGGTTGTTCTCGTCCTCCATGCGTGAGAGGCACTTCTCCAGCTCCAGGTACTCCTTGATGAGCTCTTGCTTGCTCATGTTCTGCAGGCTTTCCGCGTGGTACCGCTCGTAAGTCTCCGAGAAGTCCCGCTGCAGAAACTCGCTGCCGTCACCTCCCATACCATCGCTGCCCCCGTCCTCCTCGCCCGCCTCCTCCATAAAGTCCTCATCGCTGGTGTCGTCGGACTTGGCCGCAGCCCGCTTGGGGTAGAGGCCGGTTTTGAGATCCGGCTCCTCTTGGTCGTGATCATCCATGAGGAACTGCGTGGTGTTGTAGGGCGCAACCGGTTGGCCCTTGGCGAACATCTCAGCTCGAATCCTCGAAGCTCGAAGGCTCTGCTTCTCGTCAAACTTTTTCTTCTCCTCCCAGGTCAGCTTGTAATACGGTTTCCAATGCCGCTTCTTCTTGGAGGGGCGTCGCCTATGTTTTTTCTTGCCCAGCTGCCTCAGCTGCTGTCCCCACGCGTCCTCGCCTTCAGCGGCGGGAGCCCCCAACTTGGTCTCGGGGTCAGGAACCGGCTGGGAGAGCGGCTCGGAGGTCGGCTCCCCTCCCGCCGGCGGGGAGGCGCCGCCGGCGGACAGGTCGTCCCCATTCTGGCCTTTTTCGCCCGCGTCCAGGCAGCTAGATTCCGGACAGGCCTGGGTCTGCATGGGAGGCGGCTGGGGCTCCGGGCTCCCTTCTCCCTCCAGCCCCGGACAGCCGCCCGACAGGGGGGACGCTCTCGATTGCCACCTACCGTCCTCCTTGGGCACCCGCTCCTCCGCGCCCGGGGGGCGGTCAGGGTTCTGCTCCTCACGGACAGCAGCAGCACCTGTACAGTTGCTAGTTTGAGGCTGGTGTTGATATTCTGACAAGAGTGGCTCGGCCATGGCTAGTTAAATTCTCCTCTTGAAGTTTGCAGTCCTTGTGGAGAAAAGAGGTTTATGTTTAAGAAAAATGCTCAAAAGTCCTCTTTAACCTGTAATTCCTCCAGTGACGACTTTGCGCCTTCCTGTCAGCAAACTCCCACTTGCAACTTAAAATCAAGTCAGCAAAGGGTTAAGCGCCCGCTGCGCGGTCAGCGAGCAGGTCCAAGGGGTGCAGCGGCACCAACAGTAATGTGAGGAGAAGGTGGGCTTCAAGCCTCCCCGCCGAGTGCCCCCACGGTCTACGAGTTGGTGGCAAGGAGATGCGGTTTAAGTCCAACGGGTTAAACTCACCCCGAAGGGGTTAAAACTACCCGATGACGCTGCCTCCGAGGGGCCGAATCCACAAAGGGTTAAATCCCCTGCCGCAGAGCCCACAAGGGGTTAAAGTCCCAGAGCCACCTCCTCCCACTTCCACGGGTGTCGCTCCAACCCGAGCTCTTAGTTCCCTAGGCCGGGCCAGAGCCTTAGCCGAGGACAGACAAACTCATCTCCCCTTTGGCTCGATGCTCTGCTCAGCTCAGTTCTCCTCCGCCTCCTCCTCTTTTCCTCCCTCCCTCCCTCCCTCCCTCCTCCCCCTTCCGACAGCTCCTCTTCCGCCTCCTCCCCCGACTTCCCCTCCCAACCTGCTTTTCCACCTGCCAACTTCCAACTGCTGCCTCCCAGTCCTCTGCACCCCTTTTATATAGAAGCCTGTTCGCCCCGCCCATGCGCACGCGTAATAGAGTTCCCTAGGCGGGGAGCCGGGAAGCGTAGTCCTCGGCTCTCAAGCCCGCCCTCCTCGTGCGCCGTGCGACGTAGCCAATCCCTGGGCCCGAAGGGGGCGTCCCCCAGGCTGCCGCTTGCCTTAGCTTGTTCCTTGCTAAAGAAGCGTGGGTCCCCATTGGCTAAGACTTACTCGTCCCTCCAAAGAAACAAGACCAATCGAAGAGAAGACGGGGCGGGCTCTGGACCATACCATTCTGATTCAGGAATATGAGAAGATTCCATGACCGACGGGAGCCCACGCAGAATGTCTTTAAGAAAAGGTGTATTTTAAAGACTATTATCGTACCATGCCCTCGGAGGGAGGTTTTGGCGGTCACAAATATTTGTTAACAAAACTTAAAAATGGTTTATTCCCAAAAAGTAGTCCCTAAAGTGTAAAAGGATTAAAATCACATAAAGAGAGGTTGAACACAGCAGCAAACTCCGGATTCGCAAGATTTACAGTAATAGCTTCAAGACAGGTAGCTTGTCTCCTGAACGGACATTTGCGGAGGGATATTGTGGATATAATTCTCAAAAAACGAAGAGCGCAAGAAGAAGTAAACAAATGATGAATAAAAAGTGCCGCCTTAAAGGGACAGCGTGACAGTTCGTTTCGTGAAGCCGCCACAGACTAGGCCTCGGGGGACGAGAGGGCGGGTTCGAGTCCCGGTGACGTCGGCCCCCGCCTACCCTGGGGACCCTCGGGTGAAAGTGGCTGGATCCCGGCCCCCCGCCAGGCTTGGCGATTTCTTCCCGGTCCCTGAGGCCAGTACAGAACGGTCTACCGACCAAACCTCTGCTGGGCCAGATGGAAAGCTCCATCCAGGTGGGGTTGAAGGAGTCGACCCCGGCCTCGGCTTCGGTCAAAGAAAATGGCCTCCCGAGGCCGGTTTGGTCTCTTCACTTCCGAGTCTAGGCAGAGTGCGTGCCCGCCGACGAGCGTCTTTATTGGGGAGGGGTTCAAAATGAATGAGTTTAATATGGGAGAAGGGGGGTCGTCCCCCAGGAACCCTCCCTCCTTGGGCGCCTGGGAGGATGCAGGGCCCAAGGCTGCCCCGAGGTGGAGGCCTGGCCCCAGAATGCCGCTCCGGGTGCTAACCCAAGGCGGGGACCCCGTTCTCCCTAGAAGCATCTTCCAGCCCTAGGACCCGAAGACCCCTCCAAAGACCTGGGCTTTGGGATTGCTGCTCCTCCTCTATTGCACTCCTTGTCTCACACATTATATTATTATTGTTGTTGTTGTTGTTGTTATTGTTCCAACCCTGGTGTGCTGCATGATATTCCACGTGCAAAACCATTTGACCTCACCACGGCCACCAAGGCAGGCAGGGTAGGAATTATACCGTCTCCATTTTAGAAATGGGCAACCAGTGAAGACTTAAATCTCTTAAAGAGTTAAAGACTAGGAAAGGAAACAAGTGACTTGTCCAAGGTCACATGACAAGTGGTGGTACTGACTGGAGTGCAGGTCTTTGTGACTCCTGTGCCATTTGTCTTTGTCATAAACACAAAAATGCTCTTTTTTTTTTCCCCTCAACAACTCCAGATTGAGTTCTTTTTTCAATCCAACGATTTTCATCTAATGTAGAACCCCTTGCAGATCTATTTGACAGTCATTTGTTAAGAGGGCACAAAGATGAATAAAATGTCATCCTCACCTCCTGTTGTTCTTGGTCTATGTGGAGAAGCCTAACCTCGACGAGCCAAAATGACAAGTGATGAAAACCTCTACAGGAGCTTATGCGCCAAGCCGCTGGCAAGTCAGGTTAGGAAATTACCGACAGGTGGTGTGAAGGGAGTGACTTCTTGGTCAGCTCTGAATGATAAAGAATATGGGAGCAAAGTAGCACCAAAGAAGGGTATTTTACCTTTCTATCTTTATTTTTAAGCTCCTATATTACACAAACTAGACTCAAACTTATGTTACTACTACCTCAGCCTCCAAAAATGTTGGGATTATAAGTATGAACAATCATTTCTAGCAGTAATTTTTTTTTTTTTTTTGTCGGCCATGGGGCTTGAACTCTGGGCCTGGGCGCTGTCCCTCAGCTCTTCAGCTCAAGGTAAGCGCTCTACCACTTGAGCTACAGCGCCACTTCTGGTTCTCTGGTGGTTTATTGGAGATAGGAGTCTCATGTCTCTCCTGCCTGGGCTGGCTTTGAACTGTGATCCTCAGATCTCAGCCTCCTGAGTAGCTAGGATTACAGGCGTGAGCCACCAGCACCCGGCTTCTAGCAGTAATTTATATTTGATTTGGTACTTTTGTTTTGCATACTAAGTTTGGATCCAGAGCCTTGTGCTTGCTAGGCAGGCACTCATCACTTGAGCCATGCCTCCAGCCCCAGTATTTGTATTTGGGGAGTCATTATGTTGCCTAAGCTGGCCTTAAACTCCTGGACTTAAGAGATTCTCCTGCTTGGTCCTGTAGGTGGACTACAGACCTGCCACCTCACAGGCAAAGAAGAGCATTTTTTTTTTTTTTTGTCGGTTGTGGGGCCTGAACTCTGGGCCTGGGTGCTGTCCCTCAACTCTTCAGCTCAAGGTGAGCACTCTACCACTTGAGCTATAGCATCACTTCCAGCTTTTTCTGCTTATGTGGTACTGAGGAATCAAACCCAGGGCCTCATGCATGCAAGGCAAGCACTCTACCACTGAGCCACCTTCCCAGCCCAAAAGTAGCATTTTATGAAAGGCAGACATCCCTCATGTGGGAAGTGAGGGATTGCCTAGGAATTTAGGAGTAGTCTATGGGGCAGAGGTGACTGGCAGGGGGGAAAGCAAGCAAGAATGGCCCCAGGGCATTTGGGTTTTTGGAAATGACTATCACAGCTTGTTTCCCTACACTTCTAGAAACTTAGGTCTAGCCAGGTACTGGTGGCTTTTGCCTGTAATCCTAGTTATTCAGGAGGCTGAGATCTGAGGATTGCAGTTCAAAGCCATCCAAGGCAGAAAAGTCCACACGACTCTTTAATAAATTACAAAAAAGAAAACAAAAAAGCCAGAAGTGGTTGAGGCTGTGGCTGAAGTGGTAGAGCTCTAGCCTTGAGCACAGAGAAGCTCAGGACAGCACTCAGGCCAAGAGTTCAAGTCCCAGAACAGGCCAGAAAAAGAGGCTGGGAATGTGGCTTAGTGGATTGCTTGCCTAGCATACATGAAGCCCTAGGTTCAATTCCTCAGTACCACAGACATAGAAAAAGCTGGAAGTAGTGCTGTGGCTCAAGTGGTAGAGTGATATCCTTGAGCAAAAGAAGCTCAGGAGGGCTGGGAAGGTGGCTCAGTGGTAGAGTGCTTGCCTTGCATGCATGAGGTTCTGGGTTTGATTCCTCAGCACCACATAAACAGAAAAGGCCAGAAGTGGCGCCGTGGCTCAAGCAGTAGAGCGCTTGCCTTGAGCTGAAGAGCTGAGAGACAGCGCCTAGGCCCAGAGTTCAGGTCCACGACCGGCAAAAAAAAAAAAAAAAAAAAAGAAGCAGCTCAGGAACAGTGCCCAGGCCTTGAATTCAAGCCCCAGGACTGGCAAGAGGGGGGGGGGGATGGGGGAAGAAGAGATGTATGTCTATTTATCTGAATGAGAAATCTGCTTCTCTGTTTCTTTATCCATCTCTTGGGAGTGTCCAGGAGAACAAGAACCAGAGGAAAAGATCTTTGTAGAGAACTTAACTGGAAAAGTCAAAACCCTCCAAACTGCTACCGTATTTTCAGGCTTTAGAGGACTGGGGTCCCTCACTCCCTCTCCCTCCCAGGAGATTTGGAAGGTACATCTCTGAACCTACCCTCAGCTTATTAGGCTAAATTGTAGGCTTTCATTTGTACTATTAGGAAAGGGGTGATCGGAGTGATAGATTGTGGATTTTCAGAATTCTCTCAAACAAGATCCAGGCACCTCAATATTAGATGTGTTTGCAACCCTTTGCCAAGCATTTCATGTTTACTCTCTCCTTGTAAAATCCCCAGACCTCATCATGATGGAGGGGAATCATTCCTATTTCACAAACAAGGCAAGCCTGCCTCAGAGCCTGGGCCTACTACAGCCAGCAAAAGGAAGAGCAGGCTTCAGTCTCTCCCTGCATCCTGGCACCAGTTACATTGCTCCTGCTGCCCTACCACTGTCCATCACTAGTGGGTTTATTCAGCCTCTCTGCTCGTGACCCTGAGCTGTGCCCTGTGGAGCTACAGAAAATGCCTATGTAAGAGCTACCCTCCCTGCTTTGACAAAATTAAAGGTTAAGAATGGCCTAGACTTCCAGCGAAGGAAATGATGGTCAAGGCTGGGGCAAATGTGAAGGCCAGAGGCTGACAGAGGAACCTTCAGTCTGAGTGTCTCCCATGTGTGGCCTTCAGGATTGTTCCTTCCTCACCCAGGGGCCCAAAGATCCTGGGGCCCAGGTAGCAGCTTTAGGGTAGTCAATGCTTCAGCAGCCCTTCAAAGCTTGAGACCCTGGCCAGGGGTCCCAGAGTCATTGGTTACAAGGAATGGCCAATTTGATGCCAAATACAGGCTTGTGGCTAGAGCAAGGGAACAGGAGCAAGGACAACAGGAGTGGTGATCATGGGAGAGGCCAGGGTGGTTAGCCAAAGTCTGAAGGCTAAGCAGTCCATGAGGTCCTTATAGGCTATAACCACACCAACTGGGGCTCTGGATGATGCACGGCCCAGCCTTTCCAGAAAGTTCTCTGGGAGGGCCAGGGGTCATGGGAAGACAGCATCAGCTGAGGGTTCAGCAAGCACTTCTAGGATCAGGGGCTTGGTCCCCCTATCTTATATCCAGAGATCAGAGCAGGAAGAAGCTGCCCTTCCATTCAGACTGGAACCCCAACCAATACCCCCCTCCCTCTCCAGTGTTATCCCCTCTACTCCCACCTGTAGACCTCCAGCCAGGACCAGGACCAGCCAGGAGGCCCACCCTGCACCCTGACTCCCTCCCAAACCCACTCGAGGCTGGTTTCCCTAGAGACAGGAAGTATTTCTCACAGGGAAACACAAGCAGCCTCTGGGGGGTACCACATCGCCCTGGGGAAGCCAGCAGGGCAGGTTCTCTTGCCCCATGCCCATACCCCCCCACTTCCACTTCCCTCTCCTCTGTGTGGGGCACAGAAAACAGAAGATTGAAATTTTATTTTATTTGGTGAAACATTCATTTGCAAGTGAATCTTCAGTGAGGATGACCTGAGCTTGCTTGCTGTGTGTGTGTGTGTATGTGTGTGTGTGTCTGTCTGTCTGTCTCTGTGTTTCCCAGAGACAAGATAACCCAGTGTTCCCTCCTCCCAGTCCCCAGGTCTTTGCTCCCTTCCCTGCTCTGCCCAACCTTCCTGCCACCCTCCACCCTTCCAGCCAATCAGTCTTGCAGCCAGGCTCAAGTCCCAACTTGCCCTAGAGCCGAGCCTCCTCCAGGAGCAGCGGGGGAGGGAGGAGAGTTGAGTGACCCAGAGAAGGGTGAGATGGGCAGCACCACCCTGCTTATTGCCAACCCAGAAATGAGAGTCTGTGCACCATGATTGATTGTAGTCTTCCAGGGCAGCCTAGGCCTGGAGCAGGGGGAGCAGCCCTGTGAACTGCAGGGGAGAGTGGGGTCTTATGGGGCCCCTAGTAAGGGAAGGGGTGCTAAGGCAAAGGTGGGTGGGAGGGGAGATTTCTAATGCTGTTCTAAACCCTAGGAAGGCTCAGGCAGAGCAGGACAGAGGCTCCTAGCCTCCTCCATTGCTGGAGACCTGGTCTTCCGCAGTCACCTCTTCTGGGTCCGAAACTGTCTGAAGAGCCACTGGACAACGAAGGGCCACAGGAGCAAGAAGAACAACGTGGGAGCCGAGAGCCTGAGGGGCCAAGGCCGAGCCCGGGCTGGGGGCATCTGCTGCCAAGAGGGAGGGAGTCAGGGGCCAGCCTAGGCACAGCCCAGCCTTCTCTAGAAACCTGTTTCTGGAACTCATAAGGCTCATGTCTCTGAAGGTTGGGAAGATGAGTCTCACATGTATAGCATTAGCCTGTTGTATGTCATTTGACATGTTGGACTCCAGCTCCCTCCATCATGGTCCAAACCAAGGTTCCAGGAGAAGCTGGAGAGAGAGACTGGCTCCTGTGGGCCACAATGCAACCATTCTGTTGTTGCAGGACCTGAAGACCCTGTATTATAAAGTATGTGCCCCCTATTTCAAAGGAGGACCCTAGGTACTCAGACATTCCTTTCTAAATAGCCTTTTCCTCTAGAAGGATCCATGGTTCCCTGGAGAAGCAGTTGATTCCAGGGGTGGGCAGGAAAAGTAGGGTGAAAATATGGGACTTCTTATACCAGAAAAGCAGAGTCATTTATAAAAACGAGTAAGGTTGCATTCTAAGGCTATAGGACCTTGGCTTAAAAGAATCTCCATTGGCCAAAGTTGTGACAATCTGGGCACTGAAAAGAATATTTGGCCAAATGTGGGTGGCCTGTAATCCCAGCTTCTAGGAAGGTAGAGATCAGTAGGATTGCAGCTCAAGGTTAGACACAGCAAACAATTAGTGAGACCTCTCTCCCATCTCAACCAGTAAGCTGGCTGTGGTGACACATGCATGTCATCCCAGATGGTATGAATAGAACTGTGGTCCAGGCTGGCACAGGCAAAAACTGGGGACCCTATCTAAAAAACAAAGAGGATGT